TCCAAACCGATTACTCACGATTTTCGGAGAAATGAACACACTCTAATTTTCATTAAAAAAAATAAACAACTTTAAAAATGATCTTACTACTTCTAATGGCCTCATTAATTCTTAATGTTTCTGAATATTTCTAAAATTGTTCAGCACAAAATTTATGAGTTCCCTTAGATTCCCAATATTCCCTAAAAAGGCACCGTAGGTTTTCATTTGCATTCAATATCGATTGCCTTTCTATTGTTGTTACCTTACCTCCAAAATCCCACCAACTAACTTAGATAGAAATTGCTAAATCCAACTGGAAGCTGAAAGCCTTAGACAATATAGTCAATACACTTTGTTTTAACATTAAAAGGAAACGTTTTGTTGATAATTAGAACCAGTAATCGAGCTCATCTGTTATCGAATCTCTTGACATTTCTTTCTTTCAAATTTACTTAAATTGTTTTATTTTCCATTTTGTATATATTCTGTTTTCTAAACTTATGTTTCTATTATGTTAATCAATCCTACTAAACATTTTTTCTGTCACTTTTTGTTCGTTAACGGGGTTTCGTACATTAATATTACATATGATGAGTCTTTAACCAAAAAAAAATATATTACATATGAGCGATGTATATTTTGTACATTTTTTTCTGTCACCAAGTTGATGAATGATAGTAACGTTAATAATATAATAATACACGATTATGCATTTATGTATGTTGACATGAGATAAAGTCATAATACCAAACGTTAATGAAGAAATGGGTGGAATCTTAAATATAAAATGTTAATGTAGAAATGAGAAGAAATAGGGAAAACGACCTGTGTCCCCCTAGTAAGTTTCACATAGTATCACAACTACACCGAATTCGGATCTCGATCGCTGTCCATACAGATTAAAAGTTACACTCATGTGTCCCCCCAAATCAAAACTTCAAGACCGCCATCTCCAAAATTTTGATTTTCGTGGTTTATACTTGGTTTACTGTACCCAAACCACCATTAACCGCGTAACAAAGAAAATAAACCGGATTTACCCATAAACCAACCCGATTACAACCCGATTACAACCCGAGAATTTAAAACCCCCAATTCTCAAAATCCCCAATTCCCAGAATCCCTAATTCTAAGAACCTAAGAACCCTAGAAACTCAGAAAACTCAAATTGGAGATTTCAACTGATGGATTCAAATGAGTTGGAGCCGCCGTCGTCTGATGTTGTCGTTTATCACCAGCCTTCCGAGTCTGATCCGCAAGCAGAAGAAGGAGAAGGAAATCCAGAACCAGACATTGAACCCGACGATGAAGACCCACTAGAGCGAGACCAGTTTGAAATCGAGAAGGCATGTACGGAGTTTAGAGACGAGCCTTCGATTATTCACGACGAGTATCCGGATAGTGACAGTGATGAAGATGACGAAGGTGCTCGGGAGAGAAAGCGTGACAACATCAGCCGTGGAGATGGGAGTCTGTACTATCACCAGACATTCTTCAACAGCATTGCGTTTAAGGAAGCTGTACTCGACCATGCCTTGAAGACAGGATGCAACATTGCACAATACAGGTATGATCAAGATAAGATTGCCTTTAAGTGTGATGGGGATGGATGTATCTGGCGGATCTATTGTTCTATCACTAAGAAATGTCGAAAGTGGAGGGTTAACGTGTTCAAGGATGTTCATACATGTAATCCGAATGGAGATTGTGAGATGCTGAAGGTTCCTGTCATTGCTAGGTTGTTTTTAGATAAAATTAGAGAGGAACCTGAGTACTTTTTGCCTAAGAAGATTGAACAAACCATTAAAGAAAAGTGGAAGATCACTGTATCTAGGCCTCAATGTCAAGCTGCAAGGAGAAAAGCATTGAGTTGGATTGAGAGAGAATATGATGAGCAGTTTGCAAGGCTCCAAGATTATGCGGCAGAGATACGAGAATCAAATCCAGAATCGACTGTTGCAGTTGAAACTGTGACTAATGATGCAGGACAAGAGGAGTTCAACAGGTTCTATGTATGCTTCCATGCGATCAAAAAAACTTGGATAGAGTCTTGTAGGCCATTGATAGGAGTAGATGGAACTTTTATAAAAGGGAAAGTTAAGGGGCAGTTGCTGGTTGCTTTAGGTAGAGATGCAAACAATCGGATATATCCAATAGCCTGGGGATGTGTACAAGTAGAAAACATAGATAATTGGGTGTGGTTTGTTGAAAAGCTGAAGTCTGACTTGGGACTGATGGATGGTGATGGTTATATCATTGTTTCTGATCGCCAAAAGGTATTAACCATTCTGATTTTGAGTTTAGTTATTCATGTTGTTGTTGTGGCTACACAAAGTGCTTAATAACCTCTTGTTTGTATTTTGCAGGGTCTAATCCGAGCTGTGGAGCTAGAGCTGCCAAAGGCTGAACATAGAATGTGTGTCAGACACATCTATGGAAACTTGAAGAAAAACCATGGCAAAGATAAAGAGATGAAGATGTATGTTTGGGATTTGGCATGGAGCTACAATGAGAGTGCTTATGAAGCAAACCTGACAAGACTTTACAACTATAATGTGGCTGTCTGGCGTGATGTTGTCAAGTCAAAACCAAGAACTTGGTGTAGGGCGTTTTACAAGCAAGGAAACTTCTGTGAAGATGTTGAGAATAACTCAACTGAGTCATTCAACAACTCAATTGTGAAAGCTAGGGACAAACCGTTTGTGCCAATGCTTGAGACCATCAGGAGACTTGCAATGGTCAGGATTGCCACAAGAGCTGCTGAATCTCATGAGCACAAAGGGAGATGCACACCATATGTTAGTAAGTTTCTTGCCAAAGAATTTGAGAAAGCTTCAGAGATGACTATAAGAAGAAGCACTAATGACATGTATGAAGCTACCAGAGGATTAGATACTCATAGGATAAGCTTGACTGAGAGGACATGCACTTGTCCGAAATGGCAAATCTGTGGCATTCCTTGTGAGCATGTTTATGGAGTCCTGCTAGACAAAAAGCTTGAAGTTGAGGACTATGTGTGTCACTGGTTTAGGACACCTATGTGGAAGAAGAATTACACAGACGGCATATTTCCACAGAGAGGACCAGCTTATTGGCCTTCAACAGAGCACCCTAATGTGCATGTACCACCACCACCACCGCAGCCTGGGAGAAAGAAAGGAATGGAGAGTAAGAAGGATAAGAAGAGGAAAAAGGGAAAGTATGAATCTCCTACCAAGAAGGCACCAAAACAGATGAAAAGGGTAATGCACTGTGGTGTTTGTGGTGCAGCTGGCCACAACTCAAGGTTTCACAGGAAGAAGTCTTCTGCACAGGTTAGCAACATAATAGTTAGTTATATGCACTGTCATTTGCTCTGTTTTATAGTTAGTTACTGACTCTTGTTTTGTCTTATAATGTGTCTTAGACCTTTGAAGGAGTGTCTGCAGCAGTCCCTGCCATTCAAGGCACTCAAGGCAGTCAACTGGAATCGTCTCAAGGAGTTGTGATGTCTCAAGGATGAAGGATTGGCTTCATTGGAAAGATTAGAGAATTAGGTGTTAGATGGGTTTAGTTTTTGTTTTCCATCTGATTTAGACTTAACGGCTATGTAACTTTTGTTCTCCATCTGATTTAGACTTTTCGGCTTTGTAATTTTTGTTCTCAGACATGCTTGAACCAGTTTAATCATTTAAGGATTTTGTTGTTCTCAGTTTTGTCCAATTTTTTCCTCAGAAATTTTTGTTCTCCATCTGATTTAGACATAACAAAACAACAACAAATGTGCCCAACAAGCAAAAGACTCCAAATTTCGTTTTCATTACACAAACATGATCATGCTTGATACAAACAGACAACAAGCACAACAATTCCAAGACAAGAAAACAACAACAAAAACAGAGACCTACCAACAACAACAACAAACCACACCCAATCGTCTCAACCTATCACTTTACTCAAACCAAGCATGAGCATACAACCTACAATGACAGCAATCGACATTTTCTTCATGCTTGATTTGGATTCCAAGAGTTCTTCTTCAACCCTCTCCAAAATCTCTTCCTCTATCTTCAATTGCATCCTCTCAAAAACCATCTTCTGCTGATCCATAGTCGCTGTTGTAATCTGGGACATGCTTTGTTCAAGTGCAGCAGTTCTTACAGACAATCTCTCTATCTCATCTAACAATGCTTCGTCAACCCACTTGAAAGTGTGGTTATCATCGATAAGCTACAGAGAACAGAGAAATCAACTCAAAATTTGATACAAACAATCCAAATCTCAATCACATTACCTTATGCGATGCAGCGTAAGCACAACGATAGTAACGGCGGTACGGATTGGCAGTGGACTTTGAAATGATCGCCGAGATACTAGCACCACACCAACACATCTTTGGCACACCCGCAATTCTTCTTCTTTGTCCGACATTTGATGCTCCACTCGTAGCTCCGGATGAATTGCTCATATTCGAGCTCAGTACTATGTTTAAAATTGAAATCGAAGCTGATGAAGAGGAAAAATCGAAACTAGGGTTCTTAGGTTCTTAGAATTAGGGATTCTGGGAATTGGGGATTTTGAGAATTGGGGGTTTTAAATTCTCGGGTTGTAATCGGGTTGTAATCGGGTTGGTTTATGGGTAAATCCGGTTTATTTTCTTTGTTACGCGGTTAATGGTGGTTTGGGTACAGTAAACCAAGTATAAACCACGAAAATCAAAATTTTGGAGATGGCGGTCTTGAAGTTTTGATTTGGGGGGACACATGAGTGTAACTTTTAATCTGTGTGGACAGCGATCGAGATCCGAATTCGGTGTAATTGTGATATTATGTGAAACTTACTAGGGGGACACAGATCGTTTTCCCGAAGAAATAAAATGGTTAGTATTTATTTATGGAAGTCGATTTCACCTTTGATTTGTTTTCTAAACTGTTAATATTATTCGGAATACCAAACGTGTCGAAACTGTGGTACAAAAGATCATCATAAGTCCATAATACACACTTTTTATTTATTACTGTATTTAATTAATAAACAGCAAAATATATAATATTACTCTCTCCTCTGCTTCTTCTGCTTCTTCTTCCTCTTCTCAGAACTTTCAGTTTCGATCTCCTAAAAAGTTTGAACTTTCCGTTGAATTAAATGGGAAGCGGAAGATATTTAGACGACCCTTTAACATTTACTAGAAACCCACCATCCTCGTCTTCTCCAATCACCGAATCTAGCTTTCTCGGCGAATCGATCTCTCGCTCTGGAAGCTTTGAGAGTGAAAGCTTACGAGGAGGCGATGGTGATAGCTTTAGCGATGCAGATTTCTCACTTGAGAAACTCGCTGGTACTGTACAGTTCTACGAGAGGCATGTCTTCTTGTGCTACAAAAAGCCCTCCGTTTGGCCCGCGAGGATCGAAGCGTCTGAGTTTGATCGGTTACCGAGGCTTCTCTCTTCCGTTATATCGGCCAGGAAGAGTAGTATGACGAAAGAGGTGGGTTTGTTTTTGAGTCCTTTTTTGAATTTAATGTTACAAAATTTACTGTGATATAAGTAGACTTAGGTCTGAGAATTTCTGTAGTTTTGGTCTCCATGGGTTTGTGATTCTAACTTAGGGGAGACTTAGAGTACAAAGGCACTTCTTTGAAGAGATTCTTAGATCTCAGTGAGTCATTTCTCCTGAGGACATTTGTGATTTTTTCTTGAGTCAGATTTGTATTGGCCGATTCAATGTTTTACAATTTAGGAACTTGTTGAGTCGTTTGTAGATTAGGTTTCAGAATACACAATTCTAGTGTCTTTGAAGGAACCCTTACTTGACAATGTGGCTTCTTATGATCTTGCACATCAGTTATAAACTATCTTTTGTGTCTTTTAGATGTCTTCCTGATTGGTTTTTTCTTTTTCTCCGTTGAATTGCAGACTCTACTCACAATATGTGAGGGGCATGATGGTTCAGAGACATCAAATGGGGATGTTCTGATATTTCCAGATATGATCAGATACAGGTACTACTCAGTAGATATTGTGGTTGATGATACTTAATAAACGGTAACTCATTTTTGGCAGTTTTGAAAAAATGCAGAAGGTTGACTCATTTTGATGTCGACACATTTGTTGAAGAGGTGCTTGTGAAGGATGTTGAGTGGTTGCCTGGAAATTCTGAATCTCTAAGAGGTTCATATGTCTTTGTATGTTGTCATGGATCCCGAGACCGGCGATGTGGGGTTTGTGGACCTTCGCTGGTTAGTCGATTCAGAGAAGAAATTGAATTGTGTAGTCTCCGAGGTGAAGTTTCGGTCAGCCCTTGTTCTCACATTGGTGATCACAAATACACTGGAGATGTTCTCATCTATGGATTAAACATCAACCAGAGAGTCACAGGACACTGGTAAGTAAACTAAGGCTATATTTGGAGTAAAAAGATTTGAGTGTGCAACCATTAAGATTTCCTTTTTTGATGAATTGTAGTCTTAAAAGAATGGTATCTTGGAAATTAAGAAAAGGAAATAAAATGTATTCCTTCTATGCGAGTTTTAACTTATTAAGTGATTCTTGTCTCTTAGGTATGGATGTGTGACTCTAGAGGATGTACCTCTTTTATTGGAGCAACACATTAACAAAGGCGAAATTGTAGACCGGCTTTGGAGGTATAGAAGTTCAAAGCTTCTTGATTTAGACAGTCTTTAAAGACATTTCGGCCTTTAAACAACACTTATTGATTGTTTTCAGGGGTGAAATGGGTCTGCCAGAAGAAGATCAGAAGAAAACTCAAGAACAAAGGTTACTATTAAACAGCGAAAAGATCAGCAACAGAGAGGTGACTCAAGAATCATTTAATAATGGTATCTGTTGCCAGTCTCGAGCTGTCCCAGAGCTTAACGGTAGTTGTTGCCAACAAAATTGGAACTCCTCTTACTGTCTGGAGGAGAATCACACAGAGAAAAATACCCCGGAAAGAGTAGCCTCTGTAAAAAAAGCATCTCTTCGGATAAGTAGCAGCGAAAATGGATCTTCTTGTGGATTCAAGGCTTGTGCTACGATATCAATGTGGTTGGAGAGTTGGGAGAAAGAGGATACATATGCTGCTTTAGCCGTTGCTTGTGCTGCTGCATCTGTGGCTATTGCTTATAACTGCTATAAACAATTGAAATGAAGCAATGTGTTTTTATATCTAGCTTCTATCCAATGGTAATTATCTCAGTATTTAGACTAGATTTTTCCTCTTCGTCTGTATAGAGTTAGAAGAGGGTTTTAACTTTTATGTAAGAACGGTTTGTTGATAATATATATCCATTTTGTAAGAAATTACTGTTTTAGTCAGTTTGGTTTTTGATATTGTGAATTATCGCTTCTCAATGGTTCTTGTCTAACATTAATAAACTCAAGAAGATGGTACAGAGACTGTTTCACATTTTTGAAGAATGATTACAAACATCTCATAACTTTTTCAAGACGTGAAAATTCAAAAGAACAAAAAAAGGAAACACATTTGTGGAAAACACTAAACAGAATTTGCAAAGAAACAATAATGAGAATCATCAACTGTGGTAACAGTTTCTTCAGAAGAAATCAAACTCAAGATAATTACTCTGATCAGATCTCACACTCGAAGATGCGGCAGACGGCATAGCAGGAGTAGGATTTAACGGTTCAAGATCAACCGGTTTAGGAATCTCCGGTGGGCTGGCACATCGAACCAGAGCCCAATTCACTCCTTCAAAGAAAGGATGTTGCTTTATCTCTGTTGCTCCACGCTTATAAGCTAATCTATGTTGTGGCTCCTTCACAAGCAAACTCCTTATCAAATCCCTAGCTGCAAAGCTAACAACCGGAGATTCTGGGAATCTTAGAGGCTGACCAACCACATTGAAGAGCGTCGCTCGATTTCCAGACCCTTTAAACGGTGTTTTACCAAACAATAATTCATAAAGAAAGATCCCGAAAGTCCACCAATCAACCGCGCTTCCATGTCCTTCACCTTTGACGATCTCTGGAGCTAAGTACTCGTGTGTGCCAACAAAAGACATCGAACGGGCGCCTGTGGGCTCTGCAACGAGTTCTGGTAACGGAGTTACTTGGTGGTTCCCGTTCTCAGTTTTTGGTTTCTTGTCTTTCTTGGATTTCGATGAGAAGAACCGAGGAGAGAAGCAAGATGTTGGAGCCATTGAGATGCAAGATGGTTGCTGGATGCAGGCAGGTTGTTGCGAGCAAGAAACCGAATTCTTTGACAAGCCCTCGGACCCGACATTGGCTGATCTGACTATAGAGAGGCTCACGGTACATCTCAGGGAGAGATCAAAATCCGAAAGCATCACGTGTCCATCATCTCTCACAAGAACATTCTCGGGTTTCAAATCACGGTAAATGATCCCGAGCATGTGTAGATATTCCATTGCAAGAAGCACTTCCGCTACATAAAACCTGCAAAACAGTACGTCATCACAGTTATATAAACGCATAAAACCAGTTTCTTACATAAAGTTTAGAAAAAGTTTCTTACTTAGCTGCTTGCTCGGTGAAGCGTTTCCCGGGTTGTCTCTGCCTTAGTGTATGCAAATCACCACCAGGACAAAACTCCATCACCAAACAAGAGAACTTCTCAGTCTCAAAATGACTATACAATGTCGGGAGAAACGGGTGATCAAGACACTGCAATATCTCTCTTTCAGTTTGAGCCCTAAGAAGCTTTTTCCGGCTAGCCAAAGCGGTTTTATCCATAACCTTCATCGCAAAATAACACCTTGTTCCATTTAACTCAGCAAGATGAACAGTTCCAATATCCCCACATCCTAACCTCTTCAAGAGCCTAAAATGATTCAAACCCAAACCACCATGTTTCGTTCTAACAGCTTGAATGGCTTCCCATCTCACATCATTCGCCTTGTGAGGTTTGTTAATGCTGCTACTAAAGCTGCTACAAGTGCTCTCATCGCTTATATCACTGCTTGTGCTCGGTCTACAAGTGCTACTCTTTCCACTCTCACCTTGCTCGTTGATCTTACTATTACCGGTTTTGCCATCACTACTTGGATCGGCGAAAGACAAACTCGAAGATACTTGATCTGCTAAAGTGTTGATTGACATACTTTGACTGGAATTGGTAAGTGATCCTTCTGGAGTTTTTGAGGCCATCATGGAGTAATCAATTGTGATTCTTAGAAACCAATTCCTTCTTCCCTGAGATTCAAAGAACTTGTCTTGACTCTAGTAATCAATACTGTCACAGATTCCATCAAAATTTGAGACCTGATCTAGTCATCAAAACAAAACAATAGCATGAGGACTCAAACATCAACAATCATGGATCTTACTATAGATGAAAGTTGAGTAGATACACAAAATTGTTTTTTTCTTCTCCAAATTGAATATCAAATCTAAAAGTGACAAATCAATTGAATCGTAATTAAGCATAAACCTGATGGAGCTCTTGAACTAATCAAAATCAGTATAAACAAAATCGAAACTTTTTCATGCAAAAAAGTGGAATTTTTTTTTTGTTTTCTCTTTAGGGTTAAACAGATCTCGTTTAAAGTGAAGAAGAAGAGGCAAATAAAGAACTTTTGGATCTAACAAGAATCAGAGTATAAAACCCAGAAAAGAAGAAAGAAAAAGAACAGAGCTTTAGAGAGAGAGAGAGAGAGAGAGAGAGAGAGAGAGACCCAATAAATCGTTACCTGAAAGTGAAGATTTTTGAGCGATAAAGATCACGAGATACCCTTTTTTCGAGATGAAATTTAAGCAAAGGGAAGAAGAAGAAGAAGCAAAAAGGGAGGAGAGAGAGAGAGAGAGAACAGTCACTGTTCATGTAAGGCTGTAGAGAGAGAAAGAGATAGATGAACACATCTGCTTGCTTCCATGGAAATGGGGATAGATAGAGAGAGGAAGAGAGAGTGTTAGGAGGAGAGAGAGAGAGTTGGGTCTACCATGAAAAGAGGGGAAGAGGAGGAGAGAGAGAGGGTCAAAGAAAAAGTTGAATACTTTTTTTTTTCTTTTAATATTTTGAGGGATTTCAATAATTTCAATGTATTTTTGTTTTCTCCAAAATGGAAGACAAAGGTTTACATCAAGAATGCTCTCGTGAGCTGTAATAGTTAAGAGGCTTTTTAAGGGCAAACCAAAAACAATTTAATAGAGGTTATTGTATATTTCAAACATGTTTTCTTTTCTGTATAATTATTTTATAATAAAAATATGATAAATTGATGATAGTAAAGAACACAAAAGTGTTTAGGAAAAATTATAATAGACTTTCATCAGAACTAAGTTTCCTAATCTAAGATAAATATAAATATAAATAATATATTTAGAGATAATGTTAAACTTCTTAAATTTAAGATATGATAACATATAGATTCTTCTCGATCTTCATGATTTCCATAATCTTAGACGATTATCTCGACCGTCAATCTCGGTCGATTTTCGGTTCCCCTAATAAAATATATTTTATATTTTTCATAAAAATAATATTATTTTATATTTTTTTAAAAAAAAATTCTTTTTTTTTTTTTTTTGACATCTTTTGATCGACAAGGCCCGATCCATAGCCAATCCCTACTACGCGGGGTAACGCGACTTACTGGAGTCGAACTCTGGTGGGGAAGGCGGAGTCAAATAGATTTAACCACCTGACTAAAGGCACATCTCCTTAAAAAAATTTTTTCTAATTATCCAATTTTTTAATTTATTATTTGGTTTAGACCTAACATCTTTTATCTTATCCATTCTCATGAATCGGTCAATGTATTTTTACTCGATAAAAAGAATTGGCAAATTTTCTACAATCAAAAGTTGATATACATAAATTTATGGATTTCACAAATTTAGCTTAATATTTTAACATTAATTATTCGGTGTAGGAGATCCAAGTGAAAGCTATTGTTGATGCAGATTTTTTTACCGTGAGGATGGATAATCCCATCTTTTTGTTAAACATGTCGTGCACCACCAAACTATAATTTTCTGCTTTGTTGATGCGGTTTAGAAAGTGTCTTTCCAAGCATGTGGTATGGATTGTATTTTTCGTCATCGTGTAGTATCTTGAGAAGTTTCTTGTGTTGCACTAATGGTGGAAACTTGAGCCATTAGACGAACATTCGAGCATGATATCACACAACTTTTTATGCTTTTTCGGATTGTCAATTGATGATAAATCTTATAAACTCGAATGAAGACACAACAATAGATGTAATGCATCTCGGTTTTCTGATATTACTTTCATTTACATCATACGTTCATCTTTTTTTATATAGTCGATATACTTTCTAAAAGCTTGTTAGCATTTCTCAAATTAAATCTTCTACTTTAAAACATTAGTGAAAGTTTTCGTTATTGACCAAATTGAGATGAAAAGAAAACTTAAGATTGTAAAAGTAACTTAGCATTCCAAAATTTTAAAAGCTTATAGAACTTTAAATTTTTTCACTAATAGTAAATACGTAAATCGGTCATGTGTATTAATTTTTTTATATATATCAAACAGGCCAAACATCTATAGTTAACATTAAACACCATTGTTTGAAACTTGGGAGTTCCAAAGATGCCCCAAAAAGCTTTTCAGCAAATTATTGTTTATTATTGCCCAATATTAAGTTTCCTTAGATTCTAAGATTATATTTCATGTTTTTTTCCCATTTTAATCGAACAGAAACAAGGATTTTTAGAAATGGTTCAACAGGTAGTTGACAAACCAGAAGATTGTTCAACATAAAAAAACACAAGTAGGTATAATTTGTTCATTTACTAATATCTCAAATAATTCATATTTTGACCTCATGCTCTTCTTAGATCCAATTACTGCGTCAATTTTTAATCGAAAAGCTCAGATCCATATAACGACAATTGCTACACGATCGGCTAGGGACGTGAAACGCGAGTGGGGAATCTTTCTTCATACTAATCCCATTTCTTTAGGATAATAATAACAAAATAAAGATTAAGTTTACCATGCTACTTGAGGGATTACGGTTTCTAAGTTTCTTCATTGCAATTTAAATCATCACTGAGTAGCTGACACTAGGAATGCTTTAAAATTTTAATGGTAAGAATATCCAATTTTATACAAGTTTCTAGGTTTTGGTCTAGATTTAGTTCGGGTTCTCTCTATTATAATTCTTTTTAACAAATTCATAGTGATTCAATGGTTAAAAGATTTATAGTGAAAATTAAAGATTTGAGAGTTCCTACTTCATATAATGAGATTTAATCATAATTGGTTGTTGTGAATGCTTTAAATAGCAAAAAAATACCTAGCTTTTTTTTTTATGTCCCAAAAACTAGTTTAGATTATGGTTCAAAATCTCTTTGTTAAAAATGATGATATAGATCTCTATTTATTATTCAAAACAACTTCTTCACGCAAATTCGTCTACCTAATAATTTTTTAATATTTTAATGTTCTTTCAAGTTTTTGTTTGTGTTTCACTAAAGTCAGCCAAAATAATTCATTTCTGATGGGCATATTTACATATTTTTTTTTTAAAACAGAGAGTAATCTATATATACATTTTTGGATGACTTTTAGCAAATAAATCCTGGAATTGAAATGTATTTACAAAGAATGCCATTGGCATTTATTATTTACTTTTACAAAATTTAAATAAAAGATATGAACCAAACAATATCTTGCCTAATTTGTTTTTAAAAATCTTTACACAATCTTTCCATATATCTTCAAAAAACTTTTATAGCAAATATTTATATTAACATTTTGCATAGTAATAAAAATACTAATTTATAATAATCAAAATATTCACATAGAAAAATTATATACACATACAAGAAAAAAACTATATATGTCATCATTTAAGCCGTTGCTTTATTTAAATAAAATAAAAACACAAAAACCTGAAATCATATATTTTATATGATAAATTTAAAATATATATTAGTAATATAAATTTAAAATCATTCAAAGAACGGTATACCACGGGTGAGATCCTAAAATTATTGGATTTTATTACAATAATAATTTATTTTCTTGGATTTTATAACACTAATAATTTAGCTAATGGGATAATATAGACGGGTTTATATGGAATGACGGGTTTGGGTCGATATTAATAACGGTATATTAAGGATAAAATCCTAAAATTAACAATCAAAATACAATTATACAATCTTAAACACAAAACAAAAGAAACAATATTAACAAAACAAATACAACTTAAAATTTTTAGTTATTAAAAAACCGACCCACGGTATACTTCGGAGTCAAATATTCAAAATTTTAAAATCCACCATACATCGTTACTTAAAAAAAATGTATGTTTTCGTATCTATACTTTAAAAATTGAAACCTAAACAATAGTAATCATACACTAGATAATACATAGATAAATATCTACATTTAAAAATACAAATTAATATGATATATCTTCAGTTAAACTTTAAAAAATAACATTATATTTTTTAAAAAAATATAGCCACGCGGTGTACCGCGGGTTAAATTCTAGTTTGTTCCTTATTTTCTATAATTTTTGCAGTTTATATATGGCATATACTGTACACTTGTATCCAGTTAGTTTCTGTTTGATTAGTTTATTATCCACTCTACTTTAGTACAACCCAATTGTCAGAACATAGTCCACATGATTTTGTTTGATAAAAATAATAGTCCACCTGATTAATTTTATATCTTCTTTTTTGTTATAAAATAACCATCATTTTCCCCTACAAAAATGTTCTTTTTAACAGCAGACAAAAAAAATGTTCTTTCGAATATAATAAAATCAGGAAGAAAGTAAACAAAAAAGAAAAAGAAATTATTCATACCATAATAATACAAAAATTGATTGATTGGAACATATAATCGACCAGTTAGATATCTTTAATGATTTTCGAATATTTGAAATATAAATTTATATAAAGAATGAATAATGCAAATAAAAAGGAAAAAGGAAGAGTTAAGGATAAATAATCAAATTAAAATTGAGAGGTCCCCAAACAAGATCTGACAAAGATAGATGAAGAATGGGTTGTCATGTTCTCCAACACAAGTCCCACTTTGCTGTGAGAGTTTCACAATCTCTCTTTTTCTCTAACTTCTTACAACCAATCAACAGCTCACTGCCAAATCCCTCATTAAAAAAAAAAAAAATCAGTTCTCTGAAAAATAAGAAAAACTAAACTGAAACAATTCTGAGCCTTTCAATTTCCAATATTTTGTTTGGTTTCATACAATTATGGTTTGATATAGTTTGGTTTGGTTTGAGTCAATTCCAACATGTATGAATGATGATTTAACAAATTAATTAAAAAATATTAATATGTATAGTTAAATTGAAAAGTTAGTAATTCATTTCGGTTTATTCCAACTACGTTAAAATTAACTAAAATTAATATCAAAACCACTTTATAAAGACATAAAACACATTTAGATTAGTAGTTATAGTTTTTCTTTTTTTTGGCCACCCTGAGTTTGGTTCATGTGAGAAATAACAGCAATTTAGTGATCGGCTCAAGATCACAATTTAACTTGATACTCTTGAAAGATTTTTTTCTGAAACAAAACTTTTGGACATATAAGATCTGTCCATGGAGTCCAACAGAGTGTTCACTCTGGGTGCTTTTAATGTTGCACAAATTGTCGTGAATAAACAAAAACAACAAAGCCAATACATGGCACAAGCCTACTATAAGCATAGATGATAGTGTTTTCGCAAATGGTTTCTTCTCTTTGATGCAAAAACACTGAATCATTGCTTCTCCTCCTTCGCCTTCTCTCGCATGGCTATTCTTTTCTCTTCCCTGCAAATGTGTTTATTCAAAGCATTGTCAAGCAAATATATAAGACAAGCCTAAAGCATTTTGTTCTTTCAGTTCATGGATGAGGAGAAATATTTGTTTACCTAGCTTGAGCAATTTCGTTCTTCCATTCAGATCTCTTCTTCTTTTGCTTCCTTGCTTTAGATGGCTCTTCCACATTTTCAGATTTTGATTTCTTATCCTTTTTACCTCTCTTGTCCTCCTTTGATTTTGCAAGTCTTTCCTTGTTCTTTTTTTCTTTTGCTTCCTTAGGTTGCCTATCAGGAACAGAAGGCTTCTCAATCTCTTCAATGGCCTCAGCTTCATCATCATCATCATCACTAGACACTTCAGCTTGCTCTACAGTTTCTACCGCCTCATCATCACCTTCTGAAGATTGCTTCATGTTGCTCATTTTCTTCAGCTGTATAAAGAAAAAGAACACAAGAGCATAACATCAAAATGTGTGGATCATGTTGATCAACTATTAGAGTATTGACAAGTACATGGTTGATCCATTATAAGGGCCAAAAGTGAGTACCTTCGCCACAAAAAATCCGTCCATGTTGTGTACATGAGGATAGAAACGTCTAGTCTTGTCTAAAGAAGGCTGAAACCGGTGTTCTCTAAATCTGGTAAATCTGATGAAGAGAAGGTCAAAGAGTTTGAGACATTATTTAAATGTTCCTTTACATATCCCTCAGATGAAAAACTTGTGCATTACCCTTTTCTTCCAAAATCAAGTCCACATGTAACGAGTTTAACATCCCTCTTTTTAAGAGCATAGTCAATGACAGCTTCGTTCTACACAATTTTCATGCAAAAGAAAAAAATTAGGATAAATCAAAAACAAAGAAGAGAAATATGGGAAAAGATTATCAATGAACCAACCTCGGTAACCATAATTGAACATGTTGAATAAACTACATATCCACCGGTTTTGGAATTGGCATCCACCATATCAATAGCACCGAGTAATAGTTGCTGCATGAACAAAACAGGGTTAAATAAGCATATGTGTTTAAAAATGAAAATATGTTTGTTCAGATATAATAGAAGTTATTTAAGAAGGTAATGCCATACCTTTTGCAAGTGAGCAAATTTCTTTATCTCATCAACGGTTTTCGTTATTTTAACTGATTCATCTTTTGATATGATCTGTATTGGGTAGCAGAGGAAATTTAGTAACAAGTATCTAAACCTTAACTATAGTTTAACAGAGAGTAAGTTCGAAGTTACTTACCCCAGTCCCACTGCAAGGCGCATCCAACAATACTCTATCAACCGTGTTCTGACCTAAAACCTTAGGTAGCTGACAGCAGCAAAGATAACAAAATAAAGAATAAGTGCAAAAATTAAAACTGTGCTGCATGTTGGGCAAAATTAAGCAAATAAAATTTTATAATTCCAATCGTGCCAGTAATGTGAACTCAGGTAAATATAATGGTTTTTAACAATTTGTGAACAGGTTGCAGAAATTCAACAGAAGAATCAATGTTCAAGAAGCTAACCTCTCTTCCATCATAGTTACAAACTATGGTATTTGTGACCCCCATGCGATGCAGATTGGCAGTTAGTGACTTAAGCCTAGGTACTTTCATCTCATTCGCATATATTAAGCCTGGTTATAGCATCATTATAAACATTACTTAAAACCAAAAAATATTAAGACAGCCAAATAGAATATGGGAATAAGAAATTAGAGAAACCAATGAAGACATACCCGTATTTTTCATTAGAGCAGCGATATAAGTTGTTTTACCACCAGGAGCAGCACTGCAGTGATATAACATCTTGTTATAAACTCACACATAACGAAACAGTCAGACACTATAATTGGAATCAACACACCCCAACAAGCTCAAACACTTTTTAGCTGCGGCTACTATTTAGGAGATGATGATAACTTACGCTACATCCACAATCCGTTCATTCTCTCGAGGGGCAAGGGCCATCACTGGCAAAAACGAACTAGCACCTTGAAGCTGCAGATACACCAAGAAGAGAGACTTAAGCAAACAACTACATTCCATAAAGGTGAAGAAAAGGGAAAGATATCAGAAGATCACTTACCATGTAGTAACCAGCCAAGTATTCAGGAGTCGCACCGATTGGGACTTGTGAATCATAGATAACAAGTCCAACCTGCAGTAGGACATCCGTAAATAAGACTTATGACATATCAACAACAGAACATTCATAAAAATAGGACTTACAGAAAATAAAGCAATAAGAACAAACTACTTACTTTTGACCACTTGCTTAATGGGTCTAGATTGACTCCTCTGTTCAAAAGTACATCAGCAAGATCCCGTCTTCGAGTCTAAATCGAAACAAACATCACCATGAAATTGCAGAACTTGAAAGTCATAAGCTATATAAGCCAGTAAATCACAACCAAGTTCACCTTAAGTGTGTTAGTCCGGATAGATGTAGGCCTTTGCTTTTCAAAAGCTTCAATAAGTTCCATAAGTTCACCAGGAGGAAACATCTGCAAGAGAAATCCCAATTCAACATCCATAAGTAAAGAGTATCAACAACATCCTATCCATACTTTATCAAAGGAAAGAAATAAAAAGAAACAAGAGAGTCACCTCAACCAATGTTCCAATAAGAAAACTGTTATAACCATAATAAGAACCAAGATCATCTTTGAGCTGGTCAACACAAGCTTTCCTCGTGGTATCTTTTGGCCTGAAAGCCTTGAAATTTTTCAGAGCTCTAACAACTGAAATGTTAAATGAATCAACCATTAGAACTCAAATCCAAAACAATCACCATCAGACCAACATTCAACAGTAATAAAGCAATAAACTTTGGAATGATACTAACTCTCTTCAATTCTACTCTTAAGTAGAGGAAGATCTGGTGGACCACGAGCTTCTTCTGCAAGCTCCTGGACAATGAAGGATAATAACAACAACAGTTAGATATAGCTAAAACCAAAGCCAAACAGAGTATATTACACATGAAAAATGTTACCTCTTCAGTTGGTAGCCGAAACGCATCATGTTCAAGTTCTTCATCAGGTCCGTCTTGCTTGATATTATCCCGCACTTCAGCAGCAGCGTCTTTCTTATCCTTTGCTAATTGTCTATCAATAGCATCAGATTTCCTCACAATATCGTTGTCATCAGAGTCAGAATCCGCATCTGATGGTCCTTCCTCATCTTCATCGCCGCTACCTACTAGAAAATCGTCACCCAAAGTCTCTTCATCGTCATCGTTCTCTTCCTCCTCCTCCTCATCATCATCATCAGAGAATAACGCATTAGACCCTTTCTCTCCATCATCAGATTCATCAAGCTCTTCTGATTCTTCATCTGTGGAAACATCATCTTCATCGTCTTCGAGAGGCTCTTCCTCGACAAATTCCTTCTTCTGCTTCTTCAATGGAGGTTTGTTCTGGGATTTCGCTCCTTTCTTCAACGTCGAAGTTTGGGGTTTTGACTGAATCTTCGATGGAGGAGCTTTGGATTTGGTAACCTGCTTCGTCGGAGAGGTTGGCGATTTCGTCGCAGCTTTCTTCTTGTTACGAGTGAGAGCAGGCATGGCTACAGGTTTGAATTAGGGTTTTCTCGCGCGGCCAGGGTTTAACAGAAGAAGTAGAAGAAGCTGTACACGAAGGTGTATTTTACTGGCGTCTTTTAATGGGCTTTTATCTAAATAATTAACGGCCCAATGTAATAAATTGAGCCCAATTATTATTTTTGTTTTGTCAAAGAAAATTTAGAATTATGTTATTATGATACTTTTATTTTATTCATAAACACACAAGTTTAGAAATAGTGTGAACACCCAATATACTTGGAAATTTGTTCCACAAACAAAAAAAACAAATATGTCTCGATCAATAAACAAGACAACGAAACGGTGTCAACTTCGACACGAATCGAAACCAACACGATCATCTATCTTGTTGGTACAAGCGTGCTCTTGAACTTGTAAAATCAAAAGACAACCAAAGTTTTGCTTTTCAAAAACAAACAAAAACATTTTGACCAACACTTCATTTGGAACAAAACTTGAATACGGTTAAAAGTTCTCTCTACAAAATAACTTGTAAACTTTAACAAACTCTTGTTATTCTATTTCTAGTGTTCTTCTATTTATATAGTCTCCCCTTATTTTTCTTTACTTTTTTATCTTTAGCGTGTGACAAAAAACAAAAAAAAAAAGACTTAATAATAATATGTAGTTCCGAGATTTGTGGCATCAAGAAGTTGAAAATCATATTGGCGAAGTTGACAAAAATGGTTGACCACGTTTTTCCACTAATAGTAGAATAATTGGTTGGGTAGAAATTTGGATTTTCAGTGGTCCAATTCTCAAAACTTGTTCATCGTCTTTTTCTAACAAGTTGCTGCTATTGTCATCTTTTCTTTTGGGACCGAGAAAGAAAGAAAACTATAAAATGTTGAGAAGTATTTGCTCATAATCTGTTAATGGTTTGGTCAATTTCGCTCCCCTCAGTCAACGGAAGTTATAATCAAATTGTCTTAATCTTTATGACACGAAAGCACCTTATCTTGTAGCATTGTGTGAAATGGGTCGAGCAAAATTATTGTCATTAATCTTCTCTGTCTTGTGTGAAATGGGTACAAGCTGAGTTGATGTCGGCTCTATCTAATCACTAGGCAATAATAATAGATAAGTAACGTATGTAATGGTTCTGAATATAAATTTTCATCTGTTTTATGGCATTACCAAAAAAACAAAGAATAATCTCTTTAACGTAAAAATAATCTTACGAGATAACGAAGTCTTTAGCTTATTTGAATACACGTGTACAGGTATGACCAAATAAATAATTGGTTATGTGACTTGACCGATGAGATATGACTATGGGGATTGGACTACAATCAATTTGATTTTTTTTCTATTACATTGCACGCATTACATATGACGATATAATGTATAAAATAAAGATATTTATTTATTCGTAAACGCATATCAAATGTAATAATCATATTATGGGTGGAGTACAACTCAAGGTACAACATATTATAATCTCTAACAAAACTTGACTCCCACATGCTTTATAAAGTGTAATATACTATACATATCATGGTGGACAACTAAACGTACAAACGTATCATGATCTCTAAAAATCTCGACACATACATGCTTAAAACGGATAACGCGTTTGATCAATCAGTAGAACAAATGCACGTCTACCCAACATTTGAACATATATGTTATTTACGTTCATGTAGTTCATAAAATTTGGTTATTAATATTTATATATCGACCAGCATGGCCGATCCTGACCTAATTCGATGTTTAGACATCTTAACAATATGACTCTGCTATGTTGTTTGATCACCACCTCTATTATATAGCAGATTTATGATGAATTGTTAAAACACAATTTAATTTATTTGTGGAAATACTTAAAATGTTCATATTTTTCTTGTTGAAATTACCTTTGAGTCGGTGTTTTTCATAAAAAGAAGAAGATCATTTATTAGCCTACATCCTTTTCACATGACGGCTAGAAAAGTCCCATTCAAGAATCTGGTTGCGAAAAGCTAATAAATATATTAGGCCTATCGAGCCAAAAGTTGTTACACATGATTTCAAACATCAAATAAGACGATCCGAGTCAAATATCAAAAAGTTCTACGTAAATTAAACTCATAAGTTTTGGCAGTTAGATAGACATGTCAAGTAATTGACAAGTTTCATCAAAACATAATCTTTTAGTGTTTGAGATTTACTTGTCGTGAGATAATTATGTAATTAATGTGGCAACAGAGCTAGCTGGCGCAATAGCTATACTTTATCGAATTAAAGATGAATCACACAATCAAAATCGTTAGAGCTGGCAACAGAAACGTAAAATGAACCTAGACAGTGCAAAAACTAACCATGCATGGACTTTTACAAAAATAGAATATCGAATCAAAACGCAACGATTTTGGAATCTATTTATAGAAACTAAAAGAATCTGCAGTAACTGCGATAGATATCCTGGCAAATATTTATTTCTTCTCGTCCTATAAATATGCCATCTTCTTGGAGGCTTTCTTCACCATAATCTCTACGCTTGTAATCCCGAGTTTCGGTTTGTCCACCACATTAACACGAGTAGAATTGACCAAGTAAGTTCCCAATAAAACTCAAAACCCTTTTTTTTTGTTTTACGATAATTGCTTGTTATCGTGGACTCGTGGTCCATAGGTTTCTTGCCAGAGATTTTCTATGATTTTTAAGATTTACGATTCATTAAACTTTACTAAACTCAGAGCTAGCATATATATATATATATATATATATATATATATATATCCTTGTTTGAAAAATCGCTAGGCGCTAGTCGGGCGCTCGGCATGGGCCTAGCGATTAATCGGAAAATCGGATTAAAATCGGGGATTAATCGGGGATTAGTTTTAGGGTTATTTTAATATTTTTAAAACATATTAATCTAATATTATTTTCAAAATTGCAGTAAACACATAAAAATGTATTTTTGAGACAAATTTTATGATTTTTATTACAAATTTATGATTTTTATTAAAATTTGAACATAAACTCCCAATTTAAATGATTGAATAACAAAAATAAAAAGTTTTTTTATACTAGCAATTTAAAAAATAATCGGGGTATGTAAGATTAGACGGGGAATAATCGGATTAGGCGGGGAATAATCGGATTAGGCGGGAAGTAATCGGATTAGGCGGAGAGTAATCGGATGACTGATTTCTTTAAGGGATTAGTCATTAATCGAGGCGGATAGGGTGGGCCTAGCGATTAAGCGGGGAGTAATCGGGTCTAGGCGGGGATTTTTAGAACATGGATATATATATATATTTAGTTAGGGGTTTCGAAACGGGTTGATTTTCGTTGATTTTATACAACCGGTTATATAGTCCATTTTCGTTGATTTTATACAACCGGTTTATAATATAGCTAATAACATAATATTTCAATTTGGTGACGAGTTTGGCGACTATAAATATGAGATGAATGGAACACTCAAATAATGGAACAAGGAAAAAACTAGAACTAGATGCTGGTTTTAGTAAGTAGATATATAGATAACCTTTAAATTCTACTTTTTTTGTTTTTTTTTTTTAAAATTCTACTTGTTAGTATATTTTTAACAAAATCTGAATTGTTGAAATATAGCTGAAACCAATGACCCATTTTCAGTTCACATAGACATGTCACATGAATTCAAATATCATTAGCAAGCGTAATTGACAGCATGACCATGGCAAGTTTAAAGAATGTTAGGTTCAATACGTATTAACTTCTTAATTGTCGGGATCAATTATATTTGCATTTTTAGTATGTGTCATCACTATCTTTACTTCTTTTTGTATATCGTCACAATTATTTCCATATATATATATATATATATATATATTTTTCCCCCGTGCAAGAAGAAGAACTTTGATTAAAGTCCAGTCTATAGGATTCAAACTAAATACAGAATCTAGAGTAGACCATGTTGAAGATTCCAATATAATACAGTTGACAAATTTCTGAAATTAGTTATTCTTGTTGAGTCAATAATTTAAAAACTGTTGACAGATAACCCAAAGAAAACGGATCCTTATTTTACGGTCTCCTTAACCTTAATAATAGTAAAACGGTAAAAACTAAAATTCATGTGGTGTAAATTGTCTAAAGTCTATATATGAAGTCAATCCACGCACAAATGCTTCTGGGCTAAAAACGTTATCGTAATCTTTAATTTTCAGGCTCTTTTTTAAAATTCCGACTGGTTACCGAGGGCTAGAAAATCCGGTCACCGTCGCCGGAGACAACCTCGAGTTCTAACCAAACCATCGTGAAGGACGGAAAAAAGGAGCTTGAAGACATAACAATGACGAGCGTTTTTGATGAACCTAAACCCTCCGACGATTCTCACGAGTCCAAAATCGTAATCAATGGTAATGTATCTCTCGGTTTATTTCGGTTTATACCGGTTTTGTTTCGGTTCTTTAAATATATTGGATCATTAATTACTCGTTAATTTTCTAGTCGTTTTTGGTTGGTTTTAAGAGTGTTTGGATTGAATTTTAACGTGCAGGAGAAGAAGAAAAGGAGGAGGAGAATGATAATCCGATTGAAGAAGTCCGGTTAACGGTACCGATAACCGACGATCCAACACTACCGGTTCTAACATTTCGAACATGGTTTCTTGGACTTCTCTCTTGCATCTTGCTTGCTTTCGTGAACCAGTTCTTCAGTTTCCGGTCGAACCAGCTTTGGGTATCTTCAGTTGCTGCGCAGATCGTGACCCTCCCGCTGGGGAAACTCATGGCGAAGACGCTACCGACTAAGAAATTCGGGTTTCCCGGGACGAATTGGTCGTGGTCATTGAACCCTGGTCCGTTCAATATGAAGGAACATGTTCTCATTACAATATTTGCTAATACCGGAGCTGGAGGAGTTTACGCCACAAGTATTATTACCATTGTTAAAGCCTTTTACAATCGTCAACTCAATGTCGCCGCCGCGATGTTGCTCACACAAACCACTCAGGTATATATTTACAAAAATATATATCTTTTTGTTTTTAATGGGTGGATATAACAGTAGCTACACAAAAACCTATTATCTTCATGATTCTTGATTATTTTTATGAATCTTGATTACGTTCT